TCGAACACCCGACCTCCAGGCTAGCGAGCCAGCGTCTTACCCACTTAGCCACGTGATCCCCTGTACAATTGATAGCGAGACAGTAATATGTAGGATATTTGTAAGTATTTATTCTCCCCACTCACGTTGCCATTATTATTTCAATGTTTACGGTCCAAAATGCAGGACAGCAGTTCAAAGTACTTAGTTGATATTTACCATTTTCAATTTCCATTGCTCCACAATACCAATGTCCCAGTGTTAAAAATACAGAATACACTTTTCAATAATACAAAATACAGTACAAGAGAGCCATGTGTTAGTTATTTTGCCATTACACTCCTCCACTCTGCATTTTGCATTACATGTATATACAAATATATTTGGGATTTTTGCATAATAGAACATATGCCTTATATGGAAACTGCTAGAATCTAATTTGCTTACAAAACAAAGTGCGGACTAGACCGAGAATTAATTAAATACGCATTCAATCAAGACGGTCCAGGTCAGTAGAAGGCGGTGGTATTCTGTTCTCTGGTTTTGGGGGACCAGGATTTGTCTGAAAGTGCAGCCATTTTGAACGCGGACATTCAATTCAGGCAGCCATTTGTGTTAAATAGTTCTCAATAATTTTAAACAGGAGGTCGGATATGAATAAGCTATTAAGATTAGGGAAACCCCCAATTTAACCTTGACGACTGTAATAATATTGCTAGAATTTTTGCTCTTGAAATAAGATGCCTTTATATTTCATTAATTAATATCTTTGGCAAGTTAGTAATTTCAAACATATTCACATATATAGTGTGCACTAAATCAACTTAGTCTGTAATTGACAGTTGACATGTAAAAAAGAGCTCTTTATCGAAAACATATGTCAATTATTTACCACCAGAATTACACGTGAGTGGAATCATTCTAATTGCATCATTATTTGATTTAAAGTAACCAATCATTTTGTTAATTACACAAGTTCAAGGCCATGATCACGCGTTATTGTGCATGATATTCATTTACCTTTAAAAGAAACCGGGGAACCCTGCAAGTCAGACTTGCATTAGATTCCAGAGATCGAGGGTACATCTGAGTTCCTAGACAGCCGTGAGGCTGGATAGGGTGGAGAAGTGGTGTTGGCTATATAGTATTGTAATTTGTGCTATGCTTGTATACCTGTATTCAGTTATATGCTATATAAAATGTAGAAGCGAACTATGCATTATTATTCCTGGTAAGACAAACGTCTTAAGAAACTGGAAGAAGTAAATACACAACGTGAAGCAGAAGTAAAGACAGCTAGAGACAAATCCTAGACGATCACAAGGCTACAGAAATATGTAGTAAGAAAAGATGCATGGGTCGTACGTAGGATGCGGCGAACGGTTTCCCATAGACGCTCTCCACGTCAGACAGAAAGACTCATGGTATTACACGACATCTATTAATTTATATTATAGGAAGATTATTGTTATACGGACGGACGCTGTTATAAAACTGGTGAAAAGTATATAAATAATGATGACTACCAATGTACCAAGAGACAGTGGCAACTCACAAGTATGTAGAAATATATGGGTATTTGTAATATGTTCTATTGTGTAATATCAGATTTTAAAGAGATTGATATTCGGGTGGGAAAATCGAAGTTACATAAATACAACATGAGTTATGTCAACTTCTGTCCTGATCAAGAGATTTTATGGTATTATTGCCTTAAATTTAACCCCAACCCATAAGTAGACAGTCTTGCAGATCAAGATATATTTCGAACAGGGGCACACCTTGACATAAGTTGATATTTTTCACCCAAGTTTGATGACCAACTGTTATACATATCTGTTCAAGAAGAAATACTTTTCGCTAATGCAAGATACGTCCCAACCTTCTGTTATTATTGGAAAGCTATTCAGTAATATAGAACTGTGAGACTGTCTTCGGATGACCTATTTACATTATGCGGTGTGCTATGGAGGAAAATTTGCCCTGCTAGCGGCGCTATGGCCTACTCTTATAACAGCCAAGGTATTTTTTTACGTGCACGCCAAAGTGTACACGGGACCTCGGTTTTTCGTCCCATCCGAACTTTGTATAAATGTATAAACAGTAAACTAAACATAAAAAATAAAATATTCTTTATTGTAATATAACGTATACGTATTAACCCTTATGTACATGACTGCAAACGTACAATAGAAACCGCATCACATATTGTACGTCGTCGCTTACTGCTCGGTTATAATCTTTCGTTACAGTCAACTGCTGTTGTAATATCGTTGTCTATACATCTATGGTATAGTTATTTATAGTTCTTGTATTTTGAGCCGACTTATATGATCATAATTATGTATTAACACATCTATCTGAAATTATAATAGTTTTTTCCGTGTGTTAGCACGAAGATACTAACGCCTCCTAATTTTACGGTTGTTATATTTTTAGCTTCTAATGATGACAACAAGAGTGGTAGTACTATACAACAACTCTATTCAATGATAAAACGGTTTTTTTTAGCAATCTTTGTGTTTTAACTTTTTTTATTACTGGTCAAACGACGTTATGGGGGAGTGAACATTGAAATTGCCTTCATGCAAGAAAGAAAATTCGCAATTTTAATAATTTTTTGCTTTCATGTTATTAAATTTTATGTATTGTACATTCCAAACGTTTTTGTTTATTTTACCGTTTGTAATTTTCTTCTGAAATGTACCTTCCAAATATTTTATAATTTCCTTTGTATAAACAATAAATATTTTATAACTTTCCTGTGTATACACTAGGGACCGGGTATCATTCAGATTTGATGAAAAAGGGAAAGAAACTGAGCTTACCATCTATAATCTAATACACATATTCAGTTAATAGATTGCCATGCAGAAAGTATTAAATACCATCAAGATTCATCAAAAACCGCCCAGTTTGTGTTACCGTTTAGTTTGACATCGGTTGTCTAGTTTATGAAACTAAATGGACATAAACTGGATGACCAATATCAAAACTAAACTAAATGGTCATAAACTAGATGACCGATGTCAAAACTAAATGGTGTTTCTTAAACTAAACGGTAGCACAAACTGGGCGTTATTTGATGAATGTTGATGGTATTTAATACTTTCTGCATGGCAATCTATTAACTGAATATGTGTATTAGATTATAGATGGTAAGCTCAGTTTCTTTCCTTTTTTCATCAAATCTGAATGATACCCGCCCAGTTTGTGTTACCGTTTAGTTTGACATCGGTTGTCTAGTTTATGAAACTAAATGGTCATAAACTGGATGACCAATATCAAAACTAAACTAAATGGTCATAAACTAGATGACCGATGTCAAAACTAAATGGTGTTTCTTAAACTAAACGGTAGCACAAACTGGGCGTTATTTGATGAATCTTGATGGTATTTAATACTTTCTGCATGGCAATCTATTAACTGAATATGTGTATTAGATTATAGATGGTAGGCTCAGTTTCTTTCCTTTTTTCATCAAATCTGAATGATACCCGATCCCTAGTGATAAATAACAGATACTTTCTAACTTTCCTGTGTATTTGACCTTTTATATATTTGATATTGTTTGTTTTGTTTGTATTTTAACTTCCCAGGGTATAAAGAGAAATATTTAATAACTTGTGGTAGTTATCTTTTGAATTTTTTATATTGTTCTTGTGTATTTTATCTTCTAAATAAATATTACTATCTTTTGAATTTTTTATATTGTTCTTGTGTATTTTATCTTCTAAATAAATATTACTTATGTATTTCCATTACTTAATGTTCCATATATATTTTGTCATCGAGAATTGTACGTCGGAATACGCGACGCATTTTTGGTAATATGAACTGAATTGCTTAAATTGTTATTGTAATTTCTAAACATCTACATCCGACGAAAAACTTTGGGAGTCCAAATGAAATGGCTTTCGTTTGTGTCTAGTTAGTCCAGTCAACATCGGTATACGATTGCCCCGTTTATCAAGGCGCTTCATTACAAAAGCCCCCCCCCCCCGAGACCACAGAGAAAACGACTTGCACACCGATGTTAAATGGTTCAATATTGGATATCGGAAGACCGTATTTTCACTGTAAGATAACAACATCAATATTGGTGAAAATATGTCAATTTTAATTCGGGTTTTGAATGTTGAAGACCATGGATATTTTTGGGTTGAATGTTTAGCTAAGTTAAGCTCCTGTCAAGCGTGCATAAAGTCAGACTTGCTGTCTTTTATGATCATAACCAGCACAAGCAGATCTTTTATTATTAAAATTTTGCTAGAAAAACTGTGAAGCTGTGACCAAAATACTTTTTCTGACGGAGAAAGTTTCTTGGGATTTTCCTGCGTGGCTTCCCCCTAGTCTGTAATGTAAGACAAGGGACCCGAGAGGACAGCTGCGTAGTCGTTCGGATAATCCGTGCACGTAAAAGAACCCTTGACGATTGGAATTAAATATAAGAGTAGGTCTTATTGCTGCTGCCCGGGCAAAATTCCTCTATTAGTACACTGCATGCCGTATGTCGGTGCAGAAGAAAAAGAACGTTAAATCCGGCCAGTTTATTTACCCAGTTTGTTTGAAATTCACAATGCATTTACGTTGAAGAAGTCCAAGAAGAGATCTGCCGGTCATGTGTATATAGCCGATAGTGTTAAACGTGTTAATAGATTCCCAGAACACTGTGAATTAATGTTGGATAAAACAGATTTCAGATGGTATCCCTCCCCAATATTTAATGCCACACAAACTGGAGCGTTACACAGGGGAGGTTTCACTTGGGTGGGGATTGGGGCTTCTCTGCCTGATGATAATTTTCGGGAATCGGAACGAGAGGATGATATTACACTTGAATTTGTGAACGTGTGTTCAGGTGAGAAGATGAACCCAATCTAGTTCCAGCATTCTACTATTTTTTGGAGTTATCCCCCCTTATTCGAAAACTATTGGTGCTAATTCATGGATTATAATTTAGTTTATTTGCTTAATATAATGCGCGATTCAGGAACATTGATAGTTTACCAAGATGGGAGTATATTATAGAATTAATTTTATTGCAAGAAATTCATACATGCATAGAAATATAATACAATATATTTTCAAAGATACATAAATATAAATTTTAATACACAATTCTGATGCATGGACCACCCGCTTGTCGTCTATACAGATCCACCATTATATACTAATATGGTGATCTGTTGCTTGTTTTAATCGCTTGTTGCTACAGCCGAGGATGGTAATTGAAACTAGTATCAATATTATCCTTTTCATACGTCAACCAAATCTTAACAAATATGTTCCATTGTATTTAAAGCAATGGTTACTTTATTTAAAAGTCATATGTTTAAAATACGCCCCAAAACGCATGGAATCTATGTGCACAGTCCTACCTTGTTAAGGAATAATTCAACATCAACGTTGAGTTTTACCAATTCCATGGAGTGTATAGAAAACAAGGGAGGTAATTTTGCTGTTATGTCCCTTTCTATTATTTTTAAGCGCTACACGGTGTTTGACAAATTATTAATATTAAGCAAAAAATATTGACATAATTATGATTTGATACTATCGTTTTGATGTGTGTTGTCCGTAGGCGGGTGACAATAATTCGTAAGTGTCGTGGCCACCAACCCACACGTTACACGAGTTATACTCAGACAAAAATAATTGTACTTTATTTTTTGTATTTCAAGTTGGGCCGTTTTAAAACTTTGGATGTGCCACGTCTTTAACCCAGTATATGGCTATTCATAGAAATGAGATGGAGTTTAACGTCTTACTATTCTGAACCAGGGGTCTTACTGGAGATTTCAGGAGATTACACAAGAACATGGCACAATTTTAAACATTTTCCAAGAGAATATATACAATTTAAAAACAAAATTATTTTAAGAAACAAACAAACAAAAAAAGAAAACAGAAAAAAACAATTGTGGTCTGTGGACCCATAATTATTTTATTAAAGGGCTATCTCCAGATGTTTCAATTTGTGGGAAAGTAAAATATATAAACTATCATTAAAACAAATTCTACACATCCGAGAACAAAATACCGTGATCTTTGTCAACTATATGATAAGTTTACTTCCATGGAAGGCGTTAAATGCGAGGTAAATGCATTCGCCTACTCATCTGTTAAGGTAAAGGTTAGTTAAATATGCCATTTCGTTTCGAAGACGATTTGGAAAATGTAAAAAAAAAGCGGAAAGAGCTCGAACTTTGGGATAAAAACTAGGTTTGATCTATAGCAATATTTAAATATATATAAGTTTTCGAAACCACAGATCAAAGCTTCCAACTGTTGACAGGAATTATATTTTATACAGTTGTTTTTGACCATTTACCATATTTCGTGATCTGAAAGTAGAAAAAATAATATAAACTGTGAGAGGGTTTTTTATATTTTATTTGTAATCTTTTAATTGTAATATATCCTTAAACACGTGTATGTGAAATGAGGGCCATATAAATTTGGTAATAATAAAATTATAATAATTTAATACAAAATATATATTCTTGTATTTTCATGTGTTGTTTTTCTACTTTTGTTCCTGGGGTAGCTGGCACTGGGTCTTTTTTAAGAGCAATGATGAGAAGGGGGGGGGGGAGATACATTTAGTAATGATAAAGTAATAATAATGTAATAGAAAAAAAAACATTCTTGTATTTGAATGTCTTGCTTGTCTACTGTTTGGCTGGTGGAGCTAACACTGAATCTTTTCGAGAAAACCAACGAACTACAGACAATGATTATTACCCACCAATAGTTTATTGGGCTGTAGACTAAAATGAGTACATTTCTGCAGATGGGTCTCATTAGGGGTGGGGGTGGGGTTTTTTCTTCTACGTTTTAGACATCGCAGTCACTTACAGGCAATGTCATTTTAACACATAACAACAGGGGCGGATCCAGAGAGGCGGGGCTGCGCCCCCCCCCCTCCTCCTTGCTTAGCTACATAAAACAAATTGTAAAACAACACTTGTTATGAGAAAAGTGTCACGGACCTGTGCTTTATCCTTTATCGTCAGATGGTGGGATGGGATGGGCTTTCAAAGCGCGAGATAATGATATAGGCATATGTAATATCACAATTTATGCTTTGCATCAATAAAATTAAATCACAATGTTATCGTATTAAATCATTATAAATATTGAGGTCAGACAGGGTGTTGCATTTCTCGCTGTGAATGTATATACACCAAAATGGTGATAGAGACCATGTATTTCTCAAAACAATTTCAAGGCCGGGGGGAAGAGACAATCTCTCAGGTGCCGGGCAAACCCACTCCGGCAAAAATTCCAAAATACGCCCCTGAACAATATACAATCTCTCAGGTACCGTGCAAACCCCCTCTTGCAAAAATTTGTGAATACGCCCCTGCACAATATCTAGGCCCGTATCACTGACGACTACCTACGTTTTACAAACCAGCGTAATATTTATAAACATTCTTAGATCCCTCGAACAACTGTGATGAGAGCTACATTTTAATGAATATGAAAGACAAGATACATAATACATACTTGTACAGTTTGATGTATAGCAACATCACCAGTACCAGGCCAATTAGGAACGCCACCACAACTGCTATTGCAAAATACAGCACAGTGTCTGGACTAACTGAAATAGTAAACATATTGTTGAAACTTTCTTGTCCATCAAGGGGGGGGGGAGGGGATAGGTTAACGATCACAAGCTCTACCAAGCGGCATGGTTTCGATACCCCGCTTGTACGTGACAAGAAGTATGATCCATCGGTTTTCCCTCACAGCTAAAGACCCCTAAGCGCAAGAGAAATACTGAAATAAAATCGCACCATGTTAGTCCCGAAATGATAAAGTCAGTGTCAACTTGACGTTAAACCATCTTGTATCCAAAGTATATATTATTCTACAATGTAGTTGCTGAAAGCACTTACCTATGTCTGAACCCCAATTCGTGGGTGATTTAAAGAAAGGATCAATATTTGTTGTTGTTGGCATTGGTGTTGTTGTCCTGCATCCATATGTGTCTCCTACAAAAGTAATGCACTGCTGATATGTTTGTTAATGTCCCTAAGACAGGGACAGATGAGTGGCCCAGGTACCCCGGATCCTGGTTCCTCCGGATCCATTCACTTATTTTGATATGTTCGTTCGTTTGTGATTTGTATATATTATTGCGTCTTGTCCGCAGATTTGTTTTTGTGTCAATTATGTGTGGTACAGTCCCCCTGCACCAACTATTAACGTAAAAACACAAACACGTTTTTCACAGATTCCTTGGCTATTGTTTATTCAAATTGAAATTTGTTGACTTTCATTTGTGTAATTTTATAAACTTATTGATCGGGATAAATACAACGGCTTGATACGGCGTAAATAATTTTCAGCAAATTGTCTATAATTGGTTGCAGACATGATACTTACTGACGATATTGTTTTTTGTTATTTGACAACATTTGGCAGTATTTTATTCGTATTTGGTAGTATTGTGTTATTATTTACTTGTTTTGTGTGGATAGAGAAAGGCAACTGTAGTAGTGAGACATCTGTTATGGCATTAGAAGTATATTTTCCGCGAATTAATTAAAGTAATACATTAGTATTGGGGTAATACTGGGTAAATCGTCCCACCCACAAATAACTGTATTTCATGTTCAAAAAAATCTTGTGTTTTCCTGTCTATAGTATTTAAAGACTTTAAGCAATAACCAACAGATTACAGTCACATGAATGATACTATTCCACAACGGTAAATGTTTAAATAAACTACAACTTCCATATTTAAAACATAACGTTAGGACATAACGTTTATTAAATATGAGGGGGGGGGGTGGTTAGCACGTACGCGCTGTATCATAAAGCCTGTCCAACCTCGTGGGTTTACTCCGGGTCCTCCGGTTTACTCCCACTGCTAAAGACTCCTACACGCAAGCGAATTATTGAAATAAAATTAAACCATATGTTAGTCCCGAAATGACCTAGTTTGTGTCGAGTGGACGTTAATCCCCATGTCTCGCTCTCTCCCTCTCTCTTATTAAATATTATGGATATTCTGTGGCTTCGTAACCCAAACAAAATCCAGACGCGAGTCTAGTCATCACTGTCCTTTAATTAAACGACCAGGTAGGTAGAATGGAATTGGGGAATTAGATGTCCCTGCCAACTTAATTAATCATTTAATATGCAGCGCCTTTTCCTAAACAAATCCCGAGAATATATTATAATCACCAACGTACCAAAACAATATCGTTCGTTGCATCCTTTATCTTTAACCAGGTAATAAGCCATAAAATCTTGACAATTCTTGATCCTTATTTGGTAGGAGGCGTGACAGGTCGAGGATAAAGATGTAACACATGCAACACGATCAACAATACCATCTGATGAACTTGGATGATCTCCTGATAATATAGAATACAAAACAACCTGGCAGACATGGGTAGTATTGGTATTGTAAATCAAACTTGAATGACCTAAAATCCGCAACTATAACCACTAATCATTTTGTAGGTTATATGTCCATCTAAATTCTTTCTTTAGTACAGTAATACAAGATTTTATACATTTATAATGATCTTACCATTTAACCATATAGGATACTTGGTACCACAACTATTTACTGGTACAGGTGAAGTGGGCATGGTGAGGTTTTGACCAGATTCTGATTGAACACGATACCATCCTGGTTCCATATATCTGTCACATTTATCATAATTCACATGACAATTAATACTTCTACCATCTCCATCAGTCCATATAGATGATGTTAAACACGGGTCTGGCTCACCTGACAATACGAAACAAGCCAATTAAATTATGCTGCGTAGGACAACCTACAGAAGTTGGAGGGGAGGTATTTTATGGGTGAAAGCATGTCAACACAACTGTGGCTGATACAGGTAAATAGGAAATCCTACAGTTGAACTAAAATCAAAATGAAATTTTAAATTTTATGCGTTTCACGAATATCGATTGTAACATAAAATGCAATTTTAATAGATTTTAGTTAAAATTGCATGCGCCCGCGCAGTGCACATTTCCGATGCGGGCACTTCCGGTGTAAGCAAATAGGCTTCGAAACTGAAAACTGTTGACAGGTTGAACCGACAGGTACAATATCAATGGGTCTAGTTTCATACGTTGTAGCAATGTTTGCACATGGTCAGACAGTCGTAGCGAGGTGAAATAAATGAGTTTATTGCCTATTATTCGTTTCGAAATTTATCGTTGGGTTGGCATTGAACTTGGCATTTGATTCGTGACCTTGGGATTTGATGTACCCTGCAGGCTTCAATGTAAATAATGTGTATCGATAAACTATATTAAATCACTTGAATTTCGTAGTTTATGGTATTTTAGATAACAGAAATTATTGAGAATTGTCACAAACATATAAAATTTGTAACTCAAACGACTAATCTTTGCTGTAAATATTGTTGTTGAATTTTAAAAAGGATTTATCAACTTTGAAACTAATCTACCAAATAGCCAATGTTCCGATGCCTAGATTTGAAATGTCATTCCATCTGTTTTAAGAATACTTTGAATTACCAAAGTGCCACACTCCTTATTGGATAATGCCTATCTATCTTACACAATTAAAATGATTTTTTCCCAAAATAAAATATCTTTGCCTGCTAAAACTTCTCTAACTTATGCTGTGTTATTAACGAAAGCCTTTATTAAGAAATAATAATAAATTTATAATATTAAAATTTAATTTCAAATAGACCTATAAAATGTGGCAGTGTGAAGTTAGCTCGATTTTCGTTTTTCGATATTGGTGAATAACGAACAACGAGCTACTCGTTTTTCGATATTGGCGAATAATGAAAAACAACTAGCTCGTTTTTCGATATTGGCGAATGTCGAAAAACGAGCCACTCATTTTTCGATATTCAAACTTGAATCTCAAAAAAGTAGATTTAATTAATGGATGTACATCGACAGAATGTCTCCAAAACACATTTGATTAAATCAGTTTTGTAAAACGAACTAAAGATATCATTAATGAGGATGCCTGAGCAGTTGATTCAAATAAAAATTACTCTTTCTACTTGTTTTTTTGATATTGGCGAATGTCGAAAAACGTGTAACTTGTTTTTCGATATTCAAACTTGAATTTCAAAAAAGTAGATTTAATGGATCTACATCGACAGAATGTCTCCAAAACACATTTGATTAAATCAGTTTGTTCATAACCCAACAAAAAACATACGAGTAAATACTTTGCACTTGACATGTCTAGTATTATATGCCTGAAGGCCTTCTAATACCAGGAAATTGGCAATTTTATACACGAAGGTATTTTGTTTTATAGATAAGAGTGCTCTTCTTTCCATGGCATTAGACATGAAGTGAGCTCAGATTGTGTTTTAGGTTTTTTCTGTTATTGGTGTTTTGTTGTTTGTTTTATACGTCTATTGTTTATTTGAAAATAGTATAATTTCTACTTGAATCATATGGTAATATATAAAATAGTAACAAAGAGTTTTGTTTACTGGGGTTTCAATGTTGATCTTATATTTATTCTTTATGATCGGGAACGACAAAACCACGCATGTCAGTCGACAAACAGCAATGTACACTCTTTACATTTTTGCTATATTAAAGCCTTTGATTGCCTGCTAAGAAAATGTCTTTTGTGGATAAGATATTAAATCATTTTCGGTTATGTATTTCGAGAGACTAGAGAAGATGGGCAAGGGAGATTACTCTAGTAGTGAAACGGTAAGACATACACAGGATTTACATATTAGTTAAAGGTTTATCAAAACAATGCTCTTAATCGCATAAACAGTGACAAAACCACTGAGAGCTCTGTTGACGTGATTCTTCCTTGGGCACCGACGATACTCTAGCATCATGATTTCGCTCAACCATCTTGGGCTTTGAAATAAGTTTATTATAGTTGAAAAAGAAAACTATCTCGTCCCATTGGCTGATGCATGGCTGATTGACCGACTATGGTATATGTAAATCTATCATCAACTAGTTTATTAACTTCTTAATAGCTCATTAGCACCACTGAACATCTTAAAGTGCATTTGCAGATGTGAATTTGGGTTTGATGGGATGTATCTTAACAAATAGTAAAGGACATATGGATGGATAATAAAACACCCCAAACTAGCATCACATAGTCCGCAATATAATTTTTCTTACGTTGGTTAATCATTATCAAATGATCTTGCGCAACCGTACACATTTGATTTCAAGGATGGCATCTTCACATTTAATCCCTATTTAGCATATTTTTGTTAATAGCCTTTGCCCCCACCCCAAACAATATTTAATCTTCTGTACTGAATGTGTCAAGTATGATGTCAAATAGCAACGTAATTTTAGATGGAATTTGCATAACAATTTAATCTTCTTGGGTAATTACAGTAGTTCCGTCCAATTTACTACCGCGCTAAATTTACTCAATAATTGGTTTTATTTGGTTAGTTGGGATTATTCTCTCTAAATCTCAAACATTTTGTAGCGTTACAGGGATTGTCGAAACCCCTTCCCACAATAGTTCAATTAAGTGTTGTGCTTTCTTTATTGTAAAAAACAATTCCAACAATTGCATAACTCGTTGAAAACATTCAGCAGGTTTCATAAAGTTTCAATTCTATTCAAGAAATACAAGACTTGGTGATAATTTGAAATCAAAATTATAAAATTTATCAACCGATACAGATAAACAGCGAATTGTTGCACATGGAATCGTAACTAGGTCATGTAAGCCTCGAATATGTTAGAATCGTTTGGTCATTCCAAAACGATCCACCTAATTCCAGTATATTCTGAATTACGAGACGCAAAACGATTTTAGGAAAAGATGTATGTGACTGCTTCTAAGAGAGAACCAACTCTTCGGTGTTATGTTGCACCCATTTCCCTAGAAGACTGTAGACGGGTGGGTACCTAAAGAAGCAATTGATACAATGAACACCATTTACCTGTAACTCCCGTATCGGTAACTTGGACTTCTGTAGAAAGTGAAGTTGGTACCTGGGTTGTTGATTGTTGACAGCCTTCAGCATTACCTTGTAAATAGAATAATATACATTTTTAGACACTTGTTATGGATTTCGATCAGGTAGGTTTAATTGAAACTAGTGAATTAGATGTCCCTAGCGATTTAATTAATCTATTAACCATATACAGCACCGTTTACTAAACAAATCTCAGATAATATATTATAATCATCATACCAAAGCAATATCGCTCGTTGCATCCTTTAGCTTTTCCCAGGTAATAAGCCATAAAATCTTGACAATTCTTGATCCTTATTTGGTAGGAGGCATGACAAGTCGAGTTGTAATAAGTTACACATGCAACACGGTCAACAATACCATCTGATGAACTTGGATGATCTCCTATAAATATATAGATATATGATAAATAAGAATCTGGCAGACATGGATGGTTTGCTTTGCACATTGACAAATATTACAATACAACCTCGGTAGTGTCAATCAAAATTAAATGCTTTAAATCTGCAAATCTAAACAATAATTGTTTTCTCGGTTCTGTGTCAATCTGAAGTCTTTCTATGGTACAGTAATTGTTTGTAAACAAAGGGTGTTATCACTCTTTATATATTTAGAATGATCTTACCTTTTAACCATATAGGATACTTGGTACCACAACTATTTACTGGTACAGGTGAAGTGGGCATGGTGAGATTTTGACCAGATTCTGATTGAACACGATACCATCCTGGTTCCATATATCTGTCACATTTATCATAATCTACATGACAATTAATACTTCTACCATCTCCATCAGTCCATATAGATGATGTTAAACACGGGTCTGGTTCACCTGAAAATATGAGCTGCTGTAATTTCGTAGAATGACCTGTGTTAAATTTCATTCCGTTTAAACTTGTCTGGTTGAGAACCAAGCATAAGTATATTCGCAATTTATCTATTGTTTTTTTTTTAAATATATATCCCAAACTATTAGTACATCCGTAAAGCTACACTACTTTGTTTCACGGTTAAGGGTGAAAAAAGTAAAAGGTATGCCTACACAAACTGATTTCAACACTGGTTTAATAACATTTTACAGTACATTTCGCCCATCATAAATAATGTCATTTATATGTATCACCTGCAGATTGTATAATACGATTAATGACCCTAATGGTAGTGACCCAACATTTACCTACACAACCTTATTTATAACTGGGAACGTAAAAGCAAAACTAAATGACGAAAAAGACCTCATTTTCAAAAACAATGCTGAATAGTTATCTGTTAGGATTATCCAATGGACGAATTCAATTTAAAGAATATAATTAACATATATGAAAAATATATACTCAAAGTATGTAAGATACAAACAAGGGATCCTCTCATATATAATTACGGTAGAATCTGCATTAAGCAGCCAACCAAGGGAATTTTCACGACTGAGCGCTGACATAAATTAAATATTATGCTCGAATGCATTGGAAGCGAACATCAATACTTGCATCGGTATATTTGACCGTCGTTGAATCTTGCGCCGAACGAAAAATCTTAACTCAAATCTCGGACATAACTTCTGTAAACTTGTCATTTTGTACCAACCTTCGATACTACTGTCTACCATTGTGATGCATTCGATAATATTTATCGATTTTTGTGAAGAAAATCTATGAATTAATTTTATTTTATCACAAAAGCACATGAACAAAAAAACCATCGCTGATGAGTGCCAGGATTGCAGTAGACGTGATGTAGACCAAGGGTACTCATTATTTAACTTGTAGATCTTTGTCATCTGCCACTTGAGTTTGTGTAGAGTGTTTACAAACTAGCCTGTAGCCTTATCGAATCAAGTTAAAGCTGTCACCTCTAGTTACTGTATTAAAATGAAATAATGGGTAGGACTAAAGATACTAAAGGGAACGATAAACAGGGACGTTTATAATCTGTAAAAAAAAACCAGATCAAGCTATGATTCCGCCAATATAAATTTAGTTTCTCGGTTCAATGATGAAAGATGATGTAAGTTTCAAAATCCTCATATACGAGCTTGGGGATATTTCATTTCATGCTTACAGTTTGAAATTATTGATTCTATCAGCTAGAAAATCGTGTTGTTGACATGGGGCAACATCAAAGCGGGCTTACTTTAAGCTTAGTGGCATATCCGGACCGAAGATACTGATAACTTGTACTGGATGGGAACTCCACCAAGGCATTCGCTAAATAAACACCAACACTTAGTTTGAAGGAGAATTACTGTGTCCTAAAAAGTGTGGCGGATAGATGGATAGGCTCATTTAATAGTTCACTGCTTTATTCGAAAGGCGGGGAAAAGCAACTTGGTCAACGGCATATTGGTAAAAACCGAACAGGGATCCAATCGTGTCTACAGAGACAGGGCTGTTGTACAAACATTAACTTAGAGACTTGAAGCTCTGACCTTAATAAACATACAAAATATTTAATTAATGAAGGTCTGAGAAGAAAACGTGCTTTACTTTCCAAATCCTGCAGGGGATTAAAGATAGAGAGAGAAAAAATGGGGTTTAACGTCCACTCGACACAAATTAGGTCATTTCTGTCACGGATAACTCTGATTACATCCTTTTGACACATATTTAATTGGTTCGAGAGTCCAGACAATGTGTGATGGACTCGATTTGGACTCTTTATTTGATTATATTAATCCATAGAAAGGAGAAGTAATCATATACACATATAATCATTGATAATAATTAGCATGTTATAATATTCTTTTCAATTTATTATTATATTCGTGAGCATCCTTTCCATCACAACTTTGACGGCTATTATCCCCCATATCAACAACATCACAATTATTACGGCTATTATCTTCCATATCCAAATGCTTAACAAAAGGCTCGTCATTAATGTTTGTTTTCGACTGTGATTTAAACATGTCGTCTCCACTTGAAGCACTTGAAGACATCTTGATAAATGAGGATCACGGTGGCTAAGTGGGTAAGACGCTGGCTCGCTAGTCTGGAGGTCGGGTGTTCGATCCCTGCATTGGCGTTATTTGTATCTCTATGGTGCTATGTTTTAAGTTTGATAATAGCCTCAGACAGTCCAGTATGTAAATAGAAAGAAAAACTTCAGGGCTAACGCCCCTCAGTTGTTCTTTCTATTTACATAATGGACAATCTTCGGCCATTATACATAACTGACTGAAGTTACGAGCGATAACGGATACACGGTAGAAATTCATATCACTAACAATTCCGTTGAAGACGAAATGTTGTTATATGAGATTGTGAAAGGATATCTGACAATTTATACAATAGATTTAAGTGTCACGAGACAAGAGAAAGCGAGAAAAATAGAAAAGGCCATTATGTGATAATGGCTGACAACAACATTGTACTTGAACTATAATATGAAGAATAACATTTTGTAAATTTTGTTATAATTGCATGTCATGTATAGCAAATGTGCATTATTTATACGATCTATAACGTGTGTTGTTATTCATCATACGTTAATCAGATTATTATAGGTATTTTCGTAAATGTATAAAAACATGTTTTGATGTTCCGGCGGATGGTTGTATTCAAACTCGCTTGAAGACAGTTACTATTAGAGACGGCCATTGTAAGTTGGGCCGATCTGTCTCTGTAACAGAGAAATGAATGAAATGAAATGGGGTTAAATTTCCTACTGTTCTGCTCCTATGCTGGGCTAATGAAGACGGGCATACGCCACACAGTGTGCTATGAGGGACATTTTGCCCGGGCAGCGGCACTATCGACTATCACTACCCTTATATCGAACTCCAACTGCCAAGGGATCTTTTACGGAAAATCTGGATGAACTTTCTCGGCCAATGCAGGGATCGAACACCCGACCTCCGGGCTAGCGAGCCAGCGTCTTACCCACTTAGCCACGTGATCCCCTTCTCTGGAACAGAATTCACATGCCTGCAAATTGACAGTAGAGCAAGCTTACATCTGAATGTCTGGAGCCAGTCCAATCTCTGACGAGTAGCGGCTAGGTACTTACTTAGTGGTGGACTGTTTCAACCTGAGTAAAAAGGCTGGTATGACAGTTTTAGGGTAGCGGCTGTGTGTACCTGCTCGTTATTCTTTCGAAGGTTTCCTCCCATACCTACACAAATTGTATTGTGGCTTTGGCACCGTCGGAAGTATCTGTAATTTTACGCCCGTTTCCACCTTGGGTGTTATCGCAGGCAAGTGTCTGATAAATGTACCAAGTGATGGGCTTGGAATGGCGTAGCATAAGTAGGAGACGCGAGATCGAATAAGAGGCCTGTTTGGTTCCGTTTTGCAGGGTGGCGCCCAAGGTATATTTCACCAAAAGTGGTTGCTGTCGGTACTTAAAATGGGATATTGCATAGGAGACCTTAAGAAGGATGGCGAGCATTCCACAGTCTAGCCCGCGTTGCCATCAAGAATATGATCTCACCAAGGCTGGAATGTTAATGGAGGGAGATCTTGCTACCTGGCGTGAGCCCTTGCCGTTTATAGCAATAACCAGGCCAATCGTTTTCGTGCCATAGACTTTCCCAAGAAAAAGAAATAACCCCATCCAGACATCCCTTCACGTGACTATGCCCGATTAACGTTAGTCCTTTTATGGATCCCACGCGTTGGATCTTGGAGTAAACCGCAAGTCGTCACAGAATAGAACGCCCTTCTTATCCAGCCGGGTGAAACCCTAAGGTCTTCGATACCAATACAATCTCAAACAAGAAATCGTGAATGAACTCATAGACCTTGTGTTATTTTACCGTAGGATAGAGTAGGTTTGATCATTGTGGGCCTTGTTGGCAAACTCAATTTAGAGGCGATCACAGTCTACTTGCAGTCGATGGTGTCAAACCAAGTACCAATTTTTAATCCCCGTAAAGTCCATGTGACTTGTCAGACGAAATTGTATGAAACTTTTCAAAAAAGAACTCGGGTTCCCTAAATTTATATATAATTTTTCGTTTTACAGATAAAAAAAATAAATGTGAACCAGAAAACGTTAATTGCAAGTTAATGCTATTTCAATTATTAATTTTTGGCAGTCTACGATATCGGTCGAAACGATTATCGGCGACAAAGGTCTATTACGTGACGGTTTTACCTGTTGGGATTCTCCCTTTGTCTCTTTGTGAAAAACCTAAATCACATTAGTGATGCGTTACATACTTGTTACACTTTTATGCCTTTATGTCAGTTCTTGATGACAAAACTGGTTTAACTTTATAAGATATGGATATTGTTCTTCAAGCATGTCGTGTACAAAACTTAAGACTTCGTAGTTAGCTTGTGTTGAGGGGGCCATGGTCCAAGCTTGGCTTGGCACAGGGTGCAAACTCCCGACTAACTTACATGGCCGCTGTCTGGTCTTAACTTGAGACCCGTCGGTCCTAAGTTAACTTTAAAACGCCCTCGCTAGTCCGAATAATCTAAACTTGACTCTAATTTCTTATAATCTCTTTCTAGACAAAGGATCTGACAAGATTACACGTCTGCCAGATTATGTCTTCAGTACAGATTGCATTACCGGATATTACGTAACTCCGGTCAGCTGTGATGACTAATGACTTCACTAACGACTTCCGCGGGGCTGTCGATCTGGCACCAAGCCAGTGTCAATGTCGACCATCTGTGGGTCGTATGATTTCATGCATGGAAGGTATGAAGTGATATTTTTTAGTTTTTTAATTATTGAAATTAATACATAGTTTAGAACAACTACGCCCGATAATTACACCAGAAGTAACAACGTATAGCTGTCTGATAAAAATTTAATACAAAGCAATACATTTAATGAAACCCTTAGCGCACCATCTTCTATTTAGACATATTTCAACTTACCCGATACGGTTATTACAACAGCCGCCATAAGGATAAACCATTCTGCAGTCGTCATTTTTAATATATGTGACATAACCTCATTAGTGTGTTTATATAGCTATACACACAGCGCCACTGACTGAAGTGACGAGTGAAAACAGATATACGGGCGAATTTCTGCTCACTAGTAACTCCTTTTAAGACCGAAAGTTGTTATGTGAGAGATTATCTGATGTCCAAAAAGTAATTGAATTTCACTAGACAAGGGGAAACGAGAAAAATATATTCATTCTATACTTAATAAAAACATAGTAATATATGGACTTTTTCTATTATCTAGTGACAGTTAATGATTGTTTTAAATTGTTCGATGTCCCCCCCACACAGTCCCATGACACTGCCCGGTCAAAATTCCTTTCATAGGACACTGTATGGCGTATGTTCGTCTTCATTAACCCAAACGGAGCAGAACAGTAGGACGTTTGACCCCAGTGTAAAGAAATGAAATGAACTGGGGTTTAACGTCCCACCGTTCAGGGAACGACAGAACTGGAACACAACGCGGTTATGAAAAACGCAAGGCGGCTGTTCTTGTGCAATAGACAGTGCCAGACTGGGCCCACCTGTACACCTGTCCGTGACAGGTGGGCCTAAGCCTATGAAGAAAAAGAAAAAAGATAAAGAAAAAAAAGAAAGAAAGGAGAAGAGGACAGGACACAGGACAGGAGAAAGAAAGGATGGGAAAAAATGACTGACAAACAACACAAAAAAAGAAGTGCACTACAAGGAAAGAACTTTATGAGTTGGAGCTCATTATACTGAGAACCGTGTAATTCATCTTTTGTTTTTGACACTGAAGAGAATTCTCAAATTCATCTAATGATAGTGCTCTTAGGTCATTCTGTTATTTAATTTTATCAGAAAATCAAAAATTTGCCTACTTCTGCTTTGGTCTGAAATGCTTGGAAAATAGGTTTGCGGTTGTCAATTTTCAACATTTTCCTGGGGGGAGACCCCCCCCCCCCCCGGACGCTCGCGCGCCTTTGGCGCGTACTTGTGTGGGCCTTGGTGAATGCCCTGACAGGTGTGCCTTCGGCCCATCAGTCCGGCACTGGCAATAGACATCTGAGATATTTCAATAGAACTTCTGCGTTTTGGGGGACATGTTTATTACACAATCAATCTCCTATAAGTTCGAAACAGGAAGTATTTAATGCCTAAATGTTTTTCAGGCAAAATGAGCGGCTAAAGTCATAAAAAGTAAATGAAACGTTATACTTTTCCGCACCTACTCTTCGACAAACTCAAACTGACAAGGGTTTAATTACGTACACATTTATCATCCTATCCGAACCACAAAGACTTTGTTCCATCGCAGACTCCCTGCTCGGATTTGCTTTCACATCTGAAGCAGAGTTGACCCACTCACCCACTAAATGACACCCCGTTTAGCGGTCTTCATTTCAATTCAGTTACACGGGCACCGTGCACAATTTGGGGTTTTTGTATTTAAATAAAAAACAAAACTGGTAAGACATTCATGGAAGAAGGTGGGGGCACATATGGGTTTGACACCCACGTCACATGAACTAGGTCATTTCCGAGGGACTAACACATGGTTCAATTTTATGTCAAGCATCAAGAGGACCCTGAGAAAACCCAGAAGGTTGGAACGAGTGGGGAATCGAAACCACGCTATTCGACTGAAAAACAGACCTTACGATCTAGCGAGCACGCATTAACCAAACAGCCACCCAACCCCAATCTAGAAAAGAGTATGAACACATTACTTGGGTATAAGAGAGTGGATAACACAAATGGAATACTAGTGCCTTATTAGTGTGTTTTTTTCAGCTTTTGGTCTCCTCCCACTGCTAAAGACCCCTACGCGCAAGCGAATTATTGAAATAAAATTAAACCCTATGTTAGTCCCGAAATGACCTAGTTTGTGTCGAGTGGACATTAAACCCCATTTCTCTCTCTCCCTCTCTCTCTCTCGCTCTCTCTCTCTCGCTCTCTTTCAGCTTTTAGTCATTCCTCTTCGTGTACAGTTGTATTATGATGCACCATTTCTTTATCGTATTTAAAGGATGTTTTGGATTTTTAATTTAAATTTAACTTTAAATAAACATAAAAGAGATTTTAGAAACCGGGAAATGGCATATCGTTAAAAAATATAATATAGAGATTTTGCACCATATGTTTGAGAAAGATTAAAAGTCGGTAGATTGAGCATGGAGTTTCGATTCTTAGGCGAAATGACATAATATATTTTAAAAAAAAACATTGCAAGAAGTATGACGCTTTAACAGCGTTTTGTGGTCTGCCATTGAAACAATGTAATAGCCCTACCGATCAGTGTGGTTTTTTTCTAAAACTTTCCGGGACAGTTTGCACATTACGGAAAGTTATAATCGTTCATCTTTTATTTCCAGAATCGTTGCTGTTGTCATAAAATATCATGGCATCCTGGTTTGGTAATACGAACAAAATCACGACGCATTGCAGTTGGTATTGCATTACATCCTGATCCGTGCATTTATCCAACACGTGATTCCTAATAAACGCTTTTTACGAGCCATAAAATATTTGAACTTGTCCTTTTAACCCAATTAGTCATGTCGGTGCAGAAAAGCACGATATTAAACACCATTTTGCTTTCTTGAAACACAGAACTGTACCACTGTTGCAGCTTATTTCCAGATCTGAGTAGGTAGGCTACCCGTACACGCAGCAGAACATTGGGCGAGTTCTGATTTTAATCTTTTTCTATGTGAGTTTGGGCGCTAGTGTGTGTGTGTGTGTAGGGGGGGGGGGTAATCTACAGTTTATTTACTAATAATAGAAATATACATCTACATATATAGAAAAGACCCAAATGATGCTTAGGTTGAGAATGAACCTCCTTCAACAGCACATACTTCAACCAAAATATAGGATGATCCCACTCAGTGAGCATCTTGAAGTATGTGGTGGGGGCAAATTTGGTGTTTTTCCTTTATTTAGACTTAATAGCAAAAACAACGACCTCTTGGAGGCAAAAGAAATCTATTTTATTGAAAAGTACAACCAGAAACGTAATTCTAAATAAGAGAATAATTAAATGAACTAAAATTAAGACCGTGGTGGGATTGAATATTTGTAGTCTGTAGGCAAGGTAATAACTACCTTTACCTGTATATTAATTTTATCATGTAATTATGGCGTTGTGACGTCATAGACTATTGTTGATTGAATTATTGTTTAATAAATGCCTGAAGAGCCGCTATCGCGGTGAAAATGTTAGCATAAAAAAATTGAAACACCTTGAAATGAAATGGGGTTTAACGTCCTACCTGTTTCCTAAACTGGGCCAATGAAGACGGGCATACGCCATACAGTGTGCTATGAGGGAAATTATGCCCGGGCAGCGGTGTTACGGCCTACTCTTATATCGAATTCCAACTGCCAAGGGATCTTTTACGTCCACGCCAATGTGTACACGGGACCTCGGTTTTCCGTCCCATCCAAACGACTAGACAGCTGTCCTTGTCAGGACCTCCGTCCTGCATCACTGACATGGGGAAACCACGCCGGAAAATCCGGATGAACTTTCTCAGCCAATGCAGGGATCGAACACCCGACCTCCAGGCTAGCGAGTGCCTTACCCACTTAGCCACGTGATCCCCCTTTCCCAAATGAAATTTAGATTAGTTTATTTATGTTTTTAATGATTGAATTCGACAAACCATAACTCACGTAGTATGTAGTTGTTTAAGCCCCCGTCAGACCGTACGGCGTCCAGAAAATGGACAAGGTCGCCGACAAACGTGAACACAACGCGTTAAAAGGTCCTAAAAAATTACAAACTTGAAAAAAGTCGCCCCCTCACAGCTTTCCGGGTCAGATCGTAGAACATTGTCGTTTGCTTTGAACATGCTCAAAAAAAACTCCGTGACTAGCGATCACTGGCGACCTTGGAGACCACGGCACGATATCTGGTGTTTCCACCACGCTTTTACCACGCTTTTGGCGATCTTGACGCGCTCTGAGACCATTTTCCGCCGCCGTGGCGGGGGTATAAGAAGCGGATTTTTTTTCTGAAATGATAATGAATAGTCTAGAGACTTATTGACAACGAAACGATTTCGGCCATAAATATGTTTGTTATTAGGCAACAAACGTTTTGGAGTTGTGGTATGTGTTTTAAGGAATACAGCTACCCCGTGTACACAAAATAAAACCCTCAATTACAATCACAAACAACCTGATATGTAGTGTAAATAATTGCCACTTGACAATCTAAACTAAAGTGCGAGAGATAATTCTATCAGGATGTACTTATGTAAAGAGGATGTTTCCTTGTCTGTTTAAGCCAATCAAAACTGTATACTATTTATAATTCCACCAACTGTGAGCTTCTCGTTGAACCGTTATAGATTATGAACGTTAAATTGAGGAAGATGCCAATTTTTCTGGTAATTCTATGTTAGTTTGCATTTCCTTTATGTCAGGGAATTCCCTCGGTGACATATGTAAATCATCCCTCGTGTGATATTTGAGTGATATTTACCATTACGACTTAAAGGGGTGTCGCTATAATCAACTGCACTGTTCTGCTTAGTATTGTCAAATTGTCAAAATAACTCGTCACAAATGGGAGTTTCAGGTCGTTTGTCCAACGCCAAACTTCTAGTGACGGGGAGCGGAGTATCGAGCAACTAGGAACAAATTCTAACTTATCAATTTTAGCCCCCCCCCCCCAAAAAAAAGGAAACAACCTTCCTGTCCGTGTTCAATATGTCAACCTGAGCAATGGTTGTGGTAGATGTTTGCAACCAGAGCGCCTGTTGCGTCTAATTGCGAGTTGTTCTCTCTATAGACATAGAGAGAGAGGGGGAAATGGGGTTTAACGTCCACTCGACACAAACTAGGTCATTTCGGGACTAATGCATGGTTCAATTTTATTTCAGTAATTCGCTTGCGCGTAGGGGTCTTTACCAGTGGGAGGAAACCGGAGGACCTGGAGAAAAGCCACCAGGTTGGACAGGTGATCCTACTCCTTGTCACGTATCACCGGGATTCGAAACCACGCCAGTTGACTCAATGACAGACTTTATGATACAGCACGCACGTACTAACCATTCAGCCGCCTAACCTATAGAAATAACCCAAATATAGTAAATTATAGTATAAGTTAAGGAGACCTTGTTCTGGTTATACATGTAACTTAAATCATGCCATACCATATAACATTCTATAAAATTAGTAGATAAGTTTTACCGTTTCACCTATCACAATTTTTGCTAGTATGCAAAGTTTTCCTACCTCCCTTGCTCGTTCTATCATCATTGGATGGAGTTGATAATTTTACTTTCGATGGAGAACCCCTGGAAACACGAGGCCTATATTGATTATCTAGCCAAACAATTTTGAAAATCAGAGACCCCTTTGTACATGACTCCTGAAAGTTCTTATCCCTATCTTTTCCCCAAAATGGAGAGGGGGGGGGGGTGGATGGCCGAATGGTTAGCGCGAGCGCGCTGTATCATAAGGACTGTCATTGAGTCAACTGGCGTGGTTTCAATTCCCCGGTTGTACGTGACAAGGAGTAGGGTCGCCTGTCCAACCTCGTGGGTTTTCTCCGGGTCCTCCGGTTTCCTCCCACTACTAAAGACCCCTACGCGCAAGCGAATTATGGAAATAAAATTGAACCATATGTTAGTCCCAACATGACCTAGTTTGTGTCGAGTGGACGTTAAACCCCACTCTCTCTCTCTCTCTCTCTCTCTCTCTCTCTCTCTCTTTCCCCAGAATGCTGTTTTTGCGTGGTATCTTTTCAAGAGTTTTAAAAATGTTGATTCTGATGATTGACTTAGAAGTTATTTTTCTACAATCCAATATAAGGAAAGCGTAAAATGGTGGCCAATATGGCCCCTGTTTATACCCTATGTTTAAATCGTTTATATGTGGCTATGTCCCTTTTTAAAATAATTTTTCGATTCTGCATAATCTGAATCTTAACTTAAAGACGTCTTTTGACCACCCAATATGGCGGAAATTCAAGTTGGTGGACACAAACATCTTGGAATATTGTCAACCCAAAAGATGGCCATAGATAATATGATGTACCCCAGCAGACCACCAAGAGCTGGTCAAGATTGCAGAACTATGGTCTGCTAGACCTTCTTTAAAGGAGAGAGAGAGAGAGAGAGAGAGAGAGAGAGATGGGGTTTAACGTCCACTCGACACAAACTAGGTCATTTCGGGACTAACATATGGTTTAATTTTTTATTTACATAATTCGCTTGCGCGTAGGGGTCTTTAGCAGTGGGAGGAAACCGGAGGACCCGGAGAAAACCCACGAGATTGGACAGGCGACCCTACTCCTTGTCACGTACAACCGGGGATTCGAAACCACGCCAGTCGACTCAATGACACTTCTTTAAAGGAGGCACATCTTTAACTCAATATCATCCAGTCTTCATTAATTAAATCAACATTGATGTTGTTATCTTACCGTGAAGAGGTGGGCTTCTGATAACCAATATATCAGACAAAATGCTTTCGAGCGCCATTTGCTATAAGCGACTAGGTGAACGAAGCTAAACGTATCCCACAGAGAAAAATACTACAGGTATAGACTGGAATAACCAGACGCCAAAGACTGACATTCAATTTGGACTATTAACGTATTTCCCGGAACATAACTGATTCAGAATTGCAATAAAAACAGAAACTATTGAATGTAAATCAGTTTATATACATTCCTATGACTATAATATTGTATGCGTTGAGAACCATTTGTGTCCATTTCTAGGTGCCAAAGAATAACCATTTAGCTCCTTTAACATTTACACAGTAACAACCAAGTCCATTAAACATACATTATGCAAGAGCTAAATCTGCCTATTTCAGACCTTTCTTGCGGCATTAAATGTTATCTAAAATTATTAATTAGACATTTATTAACACGAAAAGATCTTAATCAACATTTTATGCCATCGTTATGCCCCGATATTAAGTAGATTTAAAAACGTTGATAATGGATAATTTAACGTAAAACTGGATAATCGATTGTTTGTTTCTTAACGCATGGTATGGTAGTATTGACGATCGAGTCTAGCCTAAAATTGAATCGCTAATATCTCGGTTCAGATTCTAGCAATTATCTATTTTCCTCATCTATTTTAACTATTGAACTGTCAGCGCTTTATCTAATCTTACCTAATGCCCCTTTTAGAAAACTGTCTTGAAACAGTATAACGCGTTTACAAACTGTTTCAAGATTAGGACGGTATCAGACCTTGAACCACTGTTGACTCTTTTAAGAAACAAATTGAACACAAACTGATTTTAAGGTCTTTACTTCACAGAGGCGTTTCAAATTCATAAAGGCATTTCATATTAATGTTTCCTAAGTATGTATTATTTTATTTTTCACAATGCAGGAGAGACGAAAGTATACCGATAATGCCCTAAAAACTGTCAATCGACGATATTCACTCAACTGTGAATCATGTGACATAATCACTTGACTGTTATCCCGAATCGTATATTGAAGTGCACAATATGCGGAGCTTAAACTGGACTGTTTCGACGAATAGTAACAGTTCATACTCGTATTTTATTTAGTCAACACATCAGATAGGGACATGGATACGTCCTTTAAGATATTGCTATATTGTATAGGTTTAACAGCATTATGGACGACGATAAACTGTTCTACTACAGAGGAACCAGGTAAGGTAGTAAAATTTATCTTCGGAAACTGGGGAAATTTCTTGAGTGACGACGTCACAACCAAGATAGACCAGTAATGACCACGTACCATTTCGGTTAATAGTCTGAACAATACCAGAGGACCAGTGCAAGTATTTTGGAATTATCCATTTCATTCTTAAAGACATGTAATATCATTACTGTCAATTTAGCTTAGTTCGGGGCTGAGGCGGCTTATAGAAGAACTCGAGTTCGCTGCTGGTGTTGGCCGATAATGTCCCTCGGTATTTCCCATTGCTTGGTGAGGAACGGTGTCTAGGCGTTCGGATTGAACGAAAAACCGAGGTCCCGTGAACACATTGGCGTTAAAAACCGAGGTCCCGAGGTCCCGTGTACACATTGGCGTGCATGTAAAAGATCCCTTGACAGTTGGAATTCGATATAAGAGTAGGCGATATCGACTCGCTGCTCGGGGAACATTTCCCCCACAGCACACTGTATGGCGTATGTCCGTCTTTATTAGCCCAATCGATGCAGAACAGTGGGACGTCAAACCCCTTTTCATTTCATTTCATTTGGTTTGGTTCCGATTATGCTAGAATGTTCTTCTTTCAGATCCATGCGACATTGCTTCGCCGTTTCCTAAGGTCCAGACAAGATCAACCACGTACAAGGGAAAATTTTATATTAATGATAGATTCATAACTCCTGGTTGGTATGGATCGATAGACTTATCATTACCTAGCGCAGATCCTGCACCTCCTAAATCCAGGCATTGTGGTACAAAATATCCCATATATTTAAACGGTAAGTCTTATTATATAAAGTCTCATCTAAGACGAAGCTGTAGTAACAATTTAGATCTGAAAATGGCAATGTTTACGAATATGTTTAAAGGGGGCAAGTCACTAACTTAATAACACTCAAACTCTTCGACATTGTAAACACGACTTATTGGTCAAATTGATGTTGTTATCTTACCGTGAAAAGATGGGCTTCTCATATCCAATATTTAAGACAAAATGAAAATTTTAAAATTGGCACACGAATCGCGTGCCAGAATGCTTTTGTGCGCCATTTGTAATGAATGAGCAAGGCTTAACAAATCCCTCAGGGAAGAATACTTTAGGATGTAGACTGGCATAACCAGACGCCAAAGACTGTCATTCGATTGTGATTCTTCGCGTATTCGCTGATTATAAATAACAGAAATGATTGAATGTAAATCAGTTCATATACATTTATATTACGTTATTATATGCATTGTGTCCCATTCGTGTCCAATTCTACGCGTCAAAGAATAGCGATTTAGCTCCGTTAAATTTACGACATACACAAAGTATTCCCAGGTGTTAACCTAACAATGGTTATTCATTACTCTATCATTACTGTCAGTTACCGTTGTTCATTACTGTCAGTTACCGTTGTTCTATCTTGTGAGTCACCAGTTTCATGTAAATCGGACAAAAATTGTCGCCTGTGGAGGGTCCATAAACTTTGTACATGTTTCATCTTTTGCGTAAAAGTTAGAGTACATAAGTCCGGCACGGAAGGTCCGATGCGCACGAAAGGTCCACAATCTTGTTATATGCTTTTACACTTTTTGCATAAAGGGGGCGGCCATTTTGACTGAAAGTGTCCATTCGATTTTCAAGAAATTCGTACTCAACCGCACGTATGGTGTTATATTTGAACAGTTATCAAAATCGGATAAAAATTAGGACCTGTAGAGTGTCCACAAAGAAATGTGAACGGACAGACGTACGTAAATGTGGGTATATGAAAGCGACAATTTATAGGATTACTACAACAGTAAGGCGAACCTTAATCCGGTTCTGACAGTTAATCAAATTAATGATTTTTTTATACACCCCCGCCCCATTTCAGTGTGGGCGTATTGTGTGATCACCCTTTCCTTCGATCCGTCAACAGTTGGCTGGTTCGTTAACGGGATCGAGGCTATAGTTTTTATCGATTTTTTTTTGTCAAAGGCACAGGGGTCATGAAAGAACGAGCACTATCAATATTCAGCTTTCGTGGCCTTTCATCCCGAAATTACACCCATTTTTATGAAACTCTCATGTTAACTATTATAGCGATCAATATTCAACTTCCGTCACCTCCCCCCCCCCACCCCGCAAATCTTGTGAACGTAACTTGATGTAAAGCACGGCGACCTTCCGTTCCAGAGACAGTGAAATGGGGTTTAACGTCCACTCGACACAAACTATCTAATTTTGCGACTAAAATGTGACTTAAATGTATTTTAACAATTCTCTTAAATGCGGGTATATCATCAGCAGTGGGGGGACGTAGAGAAAACCTACGAGATTGGACAGTCAACGAAATGAAATGGGGTTTAACGTCCTACTGTTCTGCTCCTATGCTGGGCTAATGAAGACGTGCATAGGCCATACAGTGTGCTATGAGGAAAATTTTGCCCGGGCAGCGGCACTATCGCCTACTCTTATATCGAATTCCAACTGCCAAGGGATCTTTCACGTGCATTCCAATGTATACACGGGACCTCGACAGCTCTCCGCCCTGCATCACTGGACAGTCAAACCTACTCCTTGTCATGTACCAGTGGGAATCAACACCACACCACTTGACTCAATGACAGACCTTATTATCTAATACGCACGCGTTAAACTATTAAATATTCTCTTTTGACGCATCACTGTAATTTTGTGGGTAATTGGGTGGCCGAATGGTTAACGCGTGCGCGTTCGATCACAAGGTCTGTCATTGAGTAAAGTGGCGTGGTGCCGAATCTCCGCTTGTACGTGACAAGGGGTAGGGTCGCCTGTCCTACCGCTGGATATTCTCCGGGTCCTTCGGTTTCCTTCCATTGCTTAAGACCCCTGCGCGCAAGTGAATTATTGAAATAAAATTGAGTTTCGAAATGACCTAGTTTGTGTCGAGTTGACCTTAAACCACATTTCTCTTTCTCTCTCCATTTTCTATATGGAAGACAAGTAACAATTACGAACCGTTTTCGACAATAGATCCTATAGTTATTTCGCCTGATTACGAAACATTAATATCACCACCGAGACAAGAAAAATATCATTCTTTTAAACTGTCGTGGTGGGTATATGTTTTGCTAAGTTCATAATAATATTTCATTTCAACAGATAGACCATTGCGTAATACTGACCAGATACAGACTATTGGTACTTGCATTCGCCATCCAACGGTCGAGTGTGGCGCTGGGGGTCCGGACGTCAAGGTGAAAGTATGTTCAGCACATTTATTGGTGTTTTACTTGGAACGTACAGGAATCGGCCTGACCGGATATTGTGTTGGTAAGTGTGTATTTACCAAGGTATGTGTTTATGACATAGGACCCTGAAAATGACAGATATGGATAAAGGCTATAGAAGATTAACTGAAAAACAGTTATAACTTTTTTAGTGTTCAAGAGTTACGCTCCTATTTTTCTCAAACCTTGCGAACATGATAGAGGTTACAGACTTTAATGGATTTGTTTAATATTTGGTCTCAAGCATTGGGGCCACGGGATGATGGATTATATCGATATTCAACGTTCTTCGACCTCCCGTTTGGAGTTAAACGATTTTTCTTTTTTGATATTTCACGTGGTTATAAGAGGACGAATCTTATCGATATTCAGTATTATGTTTCCGAAGTTTTCCAATTCTCAGATAAACCTTGGTGGTTTTGAAACATTGAGATCATGAGTGGACGAACCCTAGCAATATCCAGCAGCGTCTTTCTGTCCATCCACCCTCCTTCCATTCGCCTGAAACCTTTTAAACGCAATAAAGTGTATAATTATTTTCAAGTTTGGTGTGAAGCATTGGGGTCGTGAGAGGACGAACCGTATCAACATTTAGCGTTCCAGAGTTACGTCCCTTGTCCCAAAAACCTTGTGGGTATGATAGAGGACTTGCGTGATAATCTTTCCATCATGAAGTTATGATTTCCTCTTATAAAGCCTTGTAAATATCCAGTCGAAATTTGTGAATTCACGTTTTTGAGTTAGTGTCCGGTCAAGCCAGATAATATTGGCAACAATCTAAAAGTCTTATGGGTTTAAGAAGTTCGCACGATTTTGGTTGAGTTGTTTAACATTCGCCCTAACATTGGCGATTATGTCATACTGGTGGCTGTATTTAAGAGCATAAACTTTAATGAAATATATACAAATGATAAATCATGTTTATTTCAGGATCACTAGAGGGCGGTGGTAAGTTTTCTTGCTTTATCAAAATACAGATCACATAGCGGCGTAGGAGATGCGGTACAATATTTGGCATGATACAAAGGATAGACTTGTGGTATGATCGTAAATGATGGTAAAAGTATATGAAATATGGTAACCATTCTAAATTAGTGTCCATCATCCGTTGGTCCTGCAACAGTTTCTTGTGAACACTCTACAGATTAATCTAGCCCATTTGTTCCATGCATGTATGATTGTTGAACTTGTGTATGTTCCATAACTACATACCGGCGTAGGAAATTCTGTGCAATATTTGCCAAGGTACAAAGGATTGACGTGTGATATGGTCGTAAATAAAGCTAGCAGTCTATGAAATAATATGTTAAAGAATTACTTGATCGAGCCCTGTCATCCGTTGGTCATTTAACAGTTTGTTGTGAACTTTCTACAGATTTAGTCTAGCCCATTGTGTTTGATTATCTGATTATTGAACTTGTAGATGTTCCATACGATTATTTCTAGATGCATTGTTTTTAAGATATCCCGGATTTTAGAACCGTACCCAGTGTCGCTTATGATCAAGTTACGGTGGGAATTAAAGCACAATTCCGGTTCTTCTGCAACTTTGTCGAATCAACAGATGAAGTATTATTTTATAAAGCATACTGGTATGTACCTATTAATACAATCATGTATAATACCATGTATTCTACCTTACATAAGTATGGCGGTATATTAGATTCAAAATAATTTGTCCATGTCGTGCTATCTACTAACTTCTATTCATGTAATTTCTAATCTAAGACAATGTATAATCTAATTTTTTTTTATATTTTTTTCGCATAAATGGAGCTTCTAATTTTGCAGTTTTTATTCTATTTCATGTTATATCTTAGCAACCATCGTTGCAACGTCGTTTTGTTTTCGCCACTGCATGCGCATCTATCAGTGCAATTACGGAGAACGATAAATCATTGGTCAAGCACGTTCACTTTACCTTGATATAAGCGGCTTATGCATTCTAAGTTATTTGGGTGACCGAGTTGACAAAGAGGCCTTTTGATTATCAACTATTTCCAAAAACTATATAAGCTTATACTTTTACATAACTGCTAAATATTGATTTATTTTTACACATATTTAAATTGTTATGATTATTGCTATAATATAAATTTGAAAGTTGTCTCTGAACAATATTAAAACAATAATTTTCTTTTGTTCAAAGAAATAAACTCCATACAAAGTCTATATTCGGGAGTCCACAAGTTTAAGAAAAATAGTCACGTAATGGAGTAAAAGGCTTAATTCGAACCCCGAAAATTACATACTTTTCTTCACAGGAAGGCTGTGAGGACTAATAAATCAACTGATTCGTTAAAATGAAGAATTCGTTGTATTTTAAATCATGTAAAATGGTAAAAGCCTTGAAACCATATCTATGTCCTATAAATCACGGTAGGCCAAACATTAAGGCAGTGTCCACTTTCACATTTCTGTACTCTAGACAAATGTAAAATGTAATGAGAGAAATGTAAAATGTAGACACGTCAAAAAAAGCATTTTCCCACAAAACATATGCCATTTAACACTTAACATTTGACGTTTTACATTTAACTCTTGCCTTAGAGGTATTTTGACTTTATCAATATCGGTATTAGGACTTTGTACATTGTACTTTTTACATATAATCAATGGAAACGACATTGTCGCAGAGCATTTAATATTGGCAGCGATACCCTTCCATATCCGTTCAGCCTTTACGTCAATGTGTAATATTAGACTTTCACTGATTCAACCACTGTTAATAAATGATAGAACTAACACCTTTCAGCTGAAGTTTCTCCATAGTTTCGTTATTTTTTTCAGTCATTAATGTTATGTGAATCTTCCCAATCTTCCAGTTTTAAACAATTATTGAAATTCACCATGTACCCCACAAAGACAAACTGTAAACAATTTCATATTCTTTTTAATGTTTTTTTAATAATGCCCAATAATTGTTACTGTATGTAAAAATACAGAATCACGAACAGTATTTGTAATGTAGTTATATCCAATAGAGAGAGGGGAAAATGGGGTTTAAAGCCAACTTGACACAATGTATGCCATACATGTACTTGTAATGAATTGGTCGAATCAAGTAGTTCCATGCTATATATATATATGTCGTAGAATCAAGTAGGTCCATGCTATATATATGTCCTAGAATCAAGCAGGACCGATTACGTTTACGGCCTCTTCCCGTCTCATTCTATTACCATGTTGTGTTATATTAATTCTGCATAAACCTGGAGTTTATGTTAGTCCCTTAACCCCACATCCCTCTCTCTCTCTATTTCTTTAAAATGCACGCGTATATGAGACCTAGGTTTGTCGTCCTATTCGAACGACTAGATATTGCCCCTTGCCATGTACTACCCCACTGACACTGGGGAACTATGCCGGAGAACTATGAGAGGATTTTGTCATTCTATAACAAAATTTTATTAGTATTGGAACTAACTTTTTCTATTAACATTCCAAATGTCTATTTAGTATAAATTGAGATGGTCATACACAAGTTTGTATGAAACCACACAAGTTTCATAAATTTCAACACAAGTTTCATTTCAACACAAGTTTTTTTTTCAGTGTGAGATGAATGAATGAATCAGGTTACCAACAAAACCTATAAAATGATATATTACAAGGTAACGTTTGATGATTCTTTTTGTGTATTTTTTTTATCCAGGTACGTGAACAACCGTTTTATATACAATTCACCTTTAGCTGCTTATAATGATCCGGCCAACGAACGAGTACTAACAGAAGCAAAACTACGGGAACAGGGTGTAATTACGGTTGGCTTTGATGTAAGTAAAATCCAATAGAATTAGAATTGACATCTAGCCTATTATATATAGCAACAATACCATGTCTTTAAACTAACAAATTATTTACTCTTAAATAAAACCATTATTCGATTCACATCAACGGAGAGAGGGAGAGAGAGAGAAATGGGGTTTAACGTCTACTCGACACAAACTAGGTCATTTCGGGACTAACATATGGTTTAATTTTATTTACATAATACGTTTGCGCGTAGGGGTCTTTAGCAGTGTGAGGAAACCGGAGGACCCGGAGAAAACCCACGAGGTTGGACAGGCGACCCTACTCCTTGCCACGTACAACCGGGGATTCGAAACCACGCCAGTCGACTCAATGACAGACTTTATGATACAGCGCGCGCACGCTAACCATTCAGCCATCCACCCCACCCCCCACCCCCCCATCGACGGTAAAATCAATTTTATATAATGGCCCCCAACTCCACCACAGAACTAGTAAATTATTATGTGTTCTTTTAAGTTGACATGGCATCGTGGACACTTACCGATTCCTATAATTAGAGTTTTTTTCTTGTAACCTTTGTATTACAATATACTATTATTTTTTCCGCAAGATTTATTGTGAAATTAGAGCAGGTAGAGGCGTCAACGAATCAGCAGGACTTCCATCTACAAGTAAACCAATATTTATTGGTATAGAGGTTAGTTCCATCCTGAAATTTTTATATTTTTATAGATATGTCGACCAATTGTGATAAATGTATATTACAGTAGGGACAACCTGTCTTAAAATCATTAATTTTCATTTGTTTGTTAATATTAATGAAATTTAACTTCCTACTGCTCTGCTCCAAATGGGCTAATATAGACGGACAATGAAGGCATTTTGCCCGGACAGCGGTGCTGCGGTATACTTTTATATCGAATTCCAACTTCCAAGGGTTCTTTTACGTACACACTAATGTGTACAATGGACCTTGAGTTCTGGACCCATCTGAACGACTATATGTTGTTCCTAGCCAGACCCTATGTCCTGTACCTGACAAGGAGGAACCGAGCCGGAAAATCCAGATAAACTTTCTCGTCAACACAGGAATCGAGCACGAGGCCTCTGGGTTAGCGTGCCAACGTCCTTCCCACTGGGCCACCGTTTTTCTAATCAGTTATCAATATTTTACTTGACGACTAGCTCTGGATCATTAATCCACTCATATTCCCGGTTAATAGCAGATCAACATGAAGTAGACCACAACATTAATGGAACAAAGAGTTATTGACACGACTTAGTGGTTGAATGAGGATTTGGCATTAAAGTGTGTCTCTAATAATCTGAATTCTGGTGCACAAAGATGTCAATAGGAATGTGATGTGACTGCATCGAATGGGTTTATATAGATTACCTGTTCGCTTTGCCAATGATTCATCATTACTTTATTGATTTCTTTATTGATATTGGCAAAACTTAAACAAAACTTGTGCTCCTGTTGATTACCCATGTTTTCATGAGTAACATTAACTTTTCATTCATAACATATGGTCGCCCCTTTTCTAATCGGTCCGATAAATACGGGACTGAAATAGCCATATAATTTCATCTGAATTACCTGAGCTACCACTCGTTAGTGGATATTCTTAAGCACACGCGGCTAAATATAGGAGTGAACCATTGATGTTACAAACTTACACAAAATATACTTTACAGGTTTTGACGCCCACAATTACCGTTACAGAGGGTGAATCTACCGAGATCCAGATTAGAGCTACAGCAAAGATTGGGTGTCTCGACGCACCATGCATATATGGTGTCACGGCCAATATACCAACAGGAACAGATACCTGCTCTCCAACAGTTCGTGCAGATACGGCTTGTGGGGTGGACATTGATCCTGACAAATGGGAACAGATTTACAAGATCAAAGTTACTGGTACAATCACTACAGGTGAATATCAGCAAAAGACCAATGTTAGGAAAATCACACTTCGTTCCCCAGATCACTACTTTGATCAACCAATATGGGGAAATTATGCTTTGGCTCCGGTTACGGTAAGTCCTTGTATGTTTCAATTCAAGTGGGACAGAAGTGTAGTCCAGTTCTAGTGCTAAATCAAGCCTGCAGATATAGTCATCTCATTCAGCCAGATATAGGTAATGAAATGAAATGGGGTTTAACGTCCCACTTCTCGGCACCCATGTCTAATTATGGAATTAAACGTGAATTACTTGAGCTAGTCATGCTTGAAATCTGTCAATCGTGTGTTAGATTTCCCAATGCCGGGGTCCCACAAGGTTCTGTACTTGGTCAACTACTTTTTCTTATCTAAATACATGACATATATGAAGGTCTAATAAGCACGTCTAGATTATTTGCAGACGACATGTCACTAATTTCAACGCGTGTCAACAATGTACTTTTGCTGTTGTCAAAATGCTTATTTGATACCAACTATGGATTAATTTTTGTTGTCATTTTAGGTGTATGTAAGAAAAGATACTAAAGCTATAGAATCACGAAGTTGTGGAGTACATTCCGATCCATATGTTGAAACTTTTGCGAGCAGGTAACGTTTTATATAATGATTTGATACATAGATGCTTTATCTGTTCACACCTCCGTCTTCCGTTGTTGGTCTTTCTCGGCACCCCCTGGGGTATCGCTCCGTTCTACTCCACTAACCTCTGGATCCATTTTCGGAGAAGATATATAGTCAAATTATCCGCCCCTGATACTCCTGCTACTTTTATGGACAAATGGAGTGGTCAAAAGGAAGTAATTCGCATTTTATTGCAACTAAGATTATTGTGGTGAACGTAAACATTGATGCTCAGACTGGTGTGTAAACTGCTTTTTGATTCGTAGAATCAAGCTATGATCAATGGCAGCTAATTTGAATTCGGGATGGACTCGGGGGCTAGTGGAGTAGAACAGAACAATATCACTCGGGATACCGCGAATGATTGTTGATGCGCCGATAATGCGTAACCATCCCTAAAAATGAATCTCAGTGGCACGAAGAAATCTTTGAAAATATTGGTGGTTTTTTTTCTTCTAAATCCAGTATCTTGTGGAACGCTTGTGATGAAAAGTCGAAAATCTTGTGCAATGTGGTACCACATGGGTATATAGGGAGATCTGGGAAGAATTTTTTGAAAAAATAGATTTGTTTTCTCAATCCAATATCTTGTGGAACTCTTGTTGTGAAAAACACCACAAACCCAAACACTCTATCAGAATTATTCTAAGTCGAAAATCTTGTGGAATGTGGTACCACAAAGGTACATAGGGAGGTCTGAAATTCTTTTTTGTCTCCCCGCCTTTCGAAGAAAGCAGGGGACTATTAAAATGGGTCCGTCCGTCACATATTTTGGGACACAATAACTCTCCTTCTCATTGAGCTAGAATGTTCAAACTTGGTGTATGAGATAAGCAATTTGATTGGTTGATGCTTTGGGACACGATAACTTTAGTTGTAATTAAGTGAGAGTGATGACACTTGGTGTACAGTTTCATTACATCAATACCTGACTAAGTTGCATAACAAGTATTTTATGCTTAGGGTAAGCAGAACGATAAGCAATTTGATTGGTCGAGACTTTGGAACACAATAACTCTCATTCTAATTGAGCTAGAATGTTCACACTTGGCGTAGGTGTTTATTTGGTGAATGCCTTGATGGAGTTTGGAGTTATAAGATGAGACTTTTCTGCTTAAGTGAGAGTGACGAAGTTCCGAGTATAGATTCATTATTTCATTACCTTGACTAAGTTTGATGGTGAAAATTTTCTGCTTAGGCCAAGGTTCGATAAGCAATTCGATTGGTCAAGACTTTTGAACATAACAACTCGGCTTTTAATTGAGGTAGAATGTTTAAACATCATTAGGTGAATGTCTTGACTGAGTTCAACATTTCGAGCTAAAGCTAAACAGAGGTAAGCAATTTCATTGGTCGATCCTTTGGAACAAGATAACTTTGATTCTATTATTATTATTATTATTATTGTTCGATTTATATAGCGCTTCATTACACGTGAAGTGTTTCTAAGCGCATATCACAAACATATACTTCAAACACACAGAAACAATCAAAATCAGGAGAACATAATTAAACACAGCTGCCTGTTAGGCGCTATTATTCAATGGTTTATATCAACAAATCAACCGGCTAATCTCTATATTGAACTAAATCGAGGTATTACCTGATGAACACCTACACCAAGTAGAGTTCAAAAATAAAAACGAAGTTTAAAAGAATCAACTTCATTAACAAAAATTAAATAATCAAAAAACTAAACAGATAAATCAAATTCAAACGAAACAAATAAAACAAAGAAAATGAAAAGAGCAGTTCATTACCATTCTACATTAACAAAATAAAGGAAATCAACTTGTGAAAAAATTTTCAGAAAAATAAGAGCAAAGTAACACTAATGTTAATACTTTTTTTTAACAACCCTACTGAATGAATGTTGGGCTTAACAAAACGATCATGAAATGGCCCAATATAGTAATGATGAATAACATTATAGTATACATGGCAATACAATGATGAATAACATTATACATGGCAATACATAATAACAATAAACTGGGCATAGAATACATGGTAATACAAAATAACAATAAAATGGGCAATAGTATACATGGTAATTTTCCATAAGATTAAGAGAAAGGTATGAATTTACAAATTGATAGATATTTTGTTTTCAATATTTGCCTGTCATTTTCTAGTCCTTTCCCCCCCAACCCCCAGTTGTCAAATTCAGCATATCAATCATTTCAATAACAGGGTGGTACTACCACCCTGTTATTGAAATGATGTGGTACCTATTTATATTGTTCCATATCCAACCTCTTGGGGCAGAGCCACACCCAATTTTTATACGCAAGGAATGCTTTTTAACTTTTAGTGAGAGTATAGACTGTGTTACATAGTGTGAGAGACAGTGATAGGTAAAAGATTATAATTATCCTATGACCGCATGTGTAATAAACTCTCCACTGTTCTCTAATTGACCACACTATTGTTCATTTAATAAAGAACCAGATGCTGCCATATGTATAATGGTCAAGTTAGATAATCCGCTGATCACTAATGACGTTTACTAGCGTTAGCTGTCACACATCAATTGTTCTGAAGCCTGCCATATGCTTATAGTGAGATAATCTATCAATGACAAATGATTTAATTATGTAGTCTTTACATAAGTCCTTTTGTTCCATATTATTAATTACCCGTGTTATCAAAGTGAATTTAGTATAAATTGGCTTTGGTTTTCCATGTAAATCAGACCAGCTTTGGCGGCTGACCAGGTACGACTTTATAGTATATCTAGTATGCTAGAATAAAATGTTGCATCCAGATCATGTTTTATTTCTATTAACTCAAACTATGTTATAACTGTTATAGACATGATAGATCATTCAACAAATAAGTAGTTTCCATCATCTTTAAATCCAGTTGTATGACAATATTACAGAACTACATGCCATAGTTACATTAAACCGTTTAAAATTCTAATCAGTAATAAACTGTAATAGCTATTGTTACCTCTAGTAAATCCCGACCAATGGGTTCTATCTGATAGAGAGTGATGAAACTTAGTGTATAGTTGATAATCAGTTTATTGATTGCTTGATACTTTTGAAAAAAATAAATAATTGTGCGATTAATTAATATGTGTCATCTAATTATTTTTTTATTTCGGCGGGGGAAATCAGCCTCACTGTTGGCTTGTTTTTTTTAAATTCTATGTCCAATCTCTTGTGGAACTCGTGTACTGAAAAACACCACAAACCCAAAACAGCTTATCAAAAGTATCTAAGTCGAAAATCTTGTCGAATGTATTTATTTTCAGAAGTCATAACATTACAAATATCAAATAATACTTTCAAATATTACCCTCAATCACTACAACACACAAGTCTAATACCCATTTTTGTTGAAACATGGTAATTGATCCGGGAATGGTATGACCAATCATACCTGCAACTAGACATGTAAACAACTTATAAGTAAACTACAAACTCCAATGTTTATAAAACGAAACTGTATTAACATAATCCAAAACGACGTTCACCAGATATCGTCATACGTGACAGTTTTTAATTGAACGTCATAACATTTGCTCGTTGGGATTTATTTGACGACACCCATAGAGGTACAGTTGAGTGCATAGTCCAAATTTTTATATGCTCATATTTAATCTCTTCCGCAACCGTGTTTGTTGGACTGTATAACTTTTCTTGTGGACGATTTACACTCCTACAGATCTTGTTCGATTTGTTGAAACTTACGAGATTGTTCGATCATTTACGCTCGGACTGGTGACATTTCGTGAATGCGATACCGAACAAAATCTTTTATATAAATTTTAAAGACGGCGAGATTTTTCTTTATGATATGGTATAGAACAATGTTGAAGTTTGCCGATTTACCTTCCCAGTCATAATTTGACTTAAAAGTGTCCCAAACGCGATACAGGACAATTTTGTCTATCGAATCCCTAAATATTCGGATTTAATTAAATAGTATATTTTGTGCATCAAAATCATGTAATCGCCCTACAGGCCAAAGTTATAGAGATTCTTTAGGGATAGTTTTTCTGGTGAGAAGGATGAAATGAAATAAAACCAAGTACGAACAATCCAAACCATTAGACAAAAGTCAAAGTCCTAAAAAAAACGGTATAGGCAAAATAGTGTAATAAGGCAAAATAGTGTAATCGAGTCGAAATTAATAGTCGAACATCAATTATTAGAAATTTATTGCCGTTTTCATAGAAACCCTGTAATCACTTTACATTCCATCACTTTCAGAACTCGTGCATCCATGTATGTACGTCATATTTCAGTGCTGCAGTACATGGTAAAATCACGTGTCCAACGGTTGTCGGGTGGTCTTAGTCCTAAGGTAATGTGCACATTGGTATAGCTCATGTATAGACGTATAAAGGGTTGGGTAGAACATCATTAGAAAATGTGGTTGATATCCTTCATGCTCTCCTGATATCGTTTCATATTTTCATAATTTTACATTTCAGACAAATAAGTCTCCAGATTCTTGGAACATTTACCATGTATCAGAATGATGACTATAATATAGAGGTAAACTATATTTATTGTTAAATCTCGTGACGGGTCCAAGCCATACGGTTATATAGAATATTAGTTTTTTTGGTTTTTTTGTTTTGTAAAACGTTGTAGTACACTAGATCATATTTTGGGTTATCTGTGAAGTCGTGAGCTTGGCCACACATTTGAGGTTCTTTATCTTCCTCACACTACTAGTAAATTAATGATACTAATATGATTCGGCCCACGTATCATTCGTTAAACTGACCACTATGACTGCGAGCTTGACGACGCAATTTTGCCGCAATGGATAAAAACAGCAGCACGACCACCAGCACTTGTTGCCGTGCTTCTCAAATACAACGTTTGTTGAAGAACTGTTGATCGTTGAGGACAGAAACTCATATCCCCCATAATATTGGGACAATACATAAAAACATTCCCGTAAATCAGGTAAAACTAGGATATGAACCCTTAATAATTGGTAAATATT